AAAAAAAAAAACCCAGGACAATAGGCCAGGTGTGGTAGCTCATGCCTGTATTCAAGCACTCCAGGAGGCCAAGGCAGGTGGATTGCCTGAGCTCATAGGTTCAAGACCAGCCTGAGCAAAAGCAAGATCCCGTCTCTAAAAATAACTGGGTGGGGCAGCACCTATGGCACAGTGAGTAGGGCGCTGGCCCCATATACCAAGGGTGGTGGGTTCAAAACCAGCCCCTGAGGAACTGCAAACAAACAAATAAAAATAGTCAGGCGTTGTGGTGGGCACCTGTAGTCCCAGCTACTTGGGAGGCTGAGGCAAGAGAGTTGCTTTAGCCCAAGAGTTTGAGGCTGCTGTGAGCTATGACATCAAGGCACTCTACCAAGGGCAACAAAGTGAGACTCTGTCTCAGAACAGAAACAAAAACAAAACAAAAAGCAGAACAACAGTGGCTCCCAAAGTGGAGGTCCCAGTTCAATATCATCTCTGGGAAACTGACATGCAAATTCCTGGGTCCCACCCCTGGCTGAATCAGAACTTCTGGTGAGGCCCAGGAATTGCATCTTAATAAGCCCTTCAGGGCATTCTGATGCCTGCCCAGGTTTGGGAATCCCTGACAACCAACTTTATTTTTTCGTTATGTGTTCCTTTGGAATTTTGTTTAAAAGTCCTTCTTGGCCCCTAGTTTCTTTCCTCTAATCAACTTTGTGCTTTACTTCTCAGATCTTTATCTACCCAGAGAAAAGAGTTCAGTAGAACTGAGATAATGAAAACATTCACTATCTGTACTGTCCAGTCAGTAGCCACTGATCACGTGTGGCAATTGAACATGTGAAATGTGGTAAGTGCAACTGAGGGAGTGTATGCTTAGTTTTAGTTCACTTTAAAATCAAATAGGTGGATTTCTTGACCTCAGGAGTTCAAGACAAGCCTGAGTAAGAGTGAGACCCCATCTCTACTAAAAATAGAAAAAAATAGTGAGGTGTTGTGGCAGGCAGCTGTTATCCCAGCTACTTGGGAGGCTGAGGCAGGGGGACCACTTGAGCCCGAGTTTGAGGTTGCTGTGAACTATGTTACTACAGCACTCTACAGAGGTTGACCAAATAAAATTGTCTCAAAAAAAAAAATCAAATATCCACATGTGACTAGTTAGTACTGCACTGGACAGCAGAGATCCAGGCTTCCCTTTTGTTGTAGTTTTAGGTAGGGACATAGTTTTACTCTCCATGAGCGCATTTATTAAACAATCTCTTCCCCTTTACTGATCCGTGGGGGCCATCCTTATCATGTACAAAGCTCCTGCATACATCAGGGCCTGCTTCTGGGCTCTCTGTTCTGTCTCTAAATCAGAATTTTCAGGGTGACGCCCAGCAAGTGTAATGAGCAGCAGCGTAGAGAATCACGACTGCATAGTAATAGTGTGTAGTTAGTTATACACAGCCGCCCAGAATAGACTCCGTTTCCCAACCTCATTTCTTGGTGTGGCTACGTGACTAAGCTCTGGGCAGTGATATATGGGGAAACTTCTGGGTCAAGTCCTTGAAAGGGAGGGCCCTCCTCTTCCCCTTCTGATGGTAATGAGTCATCTTACATAGGGAGAGGCATTGGTCCCAAGATGAAGAAACAAGAAGGAAGGACCCCAGGATCCTAATTCTCACACATCTCAGCCGACTCTCAGGGGCTCCCAAACCTGAGCAGGCGAGGGAGTGCCCTGAACGGCTTGTTAAAATGCAGATTGCTGCAGTGTAATCTGGTTTCTTGTACCCTCAATGAATCCCCAACAATTAAAAAAAATGCAGATTGCTAGGCCCCACCAGAGTTTCTGATTCAACCAAGGATGGGGCCCAGGAATTTGCATGTCATGTTCCACTGATGATGCTGGACTGGGACCTCCACTTTGGAAGCCACTGTGGTCCTGTTTAAATCACTCATGTTGGGTCTCTGTAAACACACCTCTCTTTGGCCAGCAGGCTAACAGGGGGGTCTATGCTGCATACTGGAAGAATAAGAGCTATCTCGGGATACACATTAAATACACAAACACTAAGGAAAGCTGATTAGCCAAAAATGGACCCATGCATTCTTTCTGTGATATCTGACACCACAGATAAGCAAAAAAAGTCCTCACAAAATCAGCATGTGGCCTGTGGCTGCAGGTTGCACAGCCAGTCCATCCCTGACTCTCCCTCCTGGCCTTGTAGGTGTGACCAGCACCCACAGCACTTCCTGTCTGGCTGAGTTGACATTCATTCTCGCGGAGTGCCATGTCTGGCCAATTAAATGTGGATAAAGTGAGTCCTCCAGTGCCACACAGCTACTGTGTGGCCCACACTTGCCCTCCTAAATGTTCCCCTCTGTTCTGCTCAAGCTGAAGCCTGAAAAACTGTCTTGTAGACTACTCCCTGGCCAGAAGGTCAGTGAGACAACAGGGCAGGAAGCTGAAGAAGCCATTCTGCTCTGGCCAAGCAGAAACAAGCCTGGCTTCCTTAAGCCATACAGGTGGCAGTGACTTCCTGCCTTTAATGATATCAGGGTACCTGGTTTTTAACCAGTCACCTATATTAAATCTGCCCCTCCTACATTCAAAACAATTAGAGGGGTCTGTTTCCCTGAACTACCATTGACTGTTCCATGAGATCCCCTTCTGCACAGGCAACAGTGGCAGCAGCAGCACTGGGGAGGAACAGCGCCTCCAGCAGCAGCTCCCACTGTGCCACCCAAAGCCACCTCTTCAAACTGCACTGAAGGTGCCCAAACCAGCAGAGCCACTGTGGGGACAGATTGGACCGACCAGGGCAGGTAGCTTTCTACCTCCAAGCCTGGGGAGCGGGCACCTCCTAGAGCTGTCCTCAGCGTCCCATGGGACCCACTGAAGCCAGTGGCTCCCTTCCATTATTTGGTTTTGGAGTCTTATCATACCAGTTCCCTAAAATGAACGGGGAGCCATCTTCTACTTCTCCATACCTGCTCCTGTTTGGTAGATCCCCTTTGCAAGCATTCTGAGCCTCAAGTTTTTATTTTTATTTTTATTTTTACAGTTTTTGACCGGGGCTGGGTTTGAACCCACCACCTCTGGCATATGGGGCCAGTGCTCTACTCCTTTGAGCCACAGGCGCCACCCGAGCCTGAAGCTTTTTATTTGGTGTGTGTGTGCGTGGGGTGTCATCTTGGTCATGTTTTCTGTATCTTCTTCTGCCAACTCTGCATTTCTCTCCAGTAACGTACCTGCTTCACCCAGGCCTCACACATTCCTACAGAGCAAGTGCTGCCTGCACTGTCCTGTTTGAATCTGTGATGATCTATCTAGGTCATGTATGCACTTGGCACAGGCCCTGCCACAGAAGCAGTGCCCAGACCCCTAGGGAAGGTCAGGACCTGCGGAAGGGGGTCCTGGGACAGGGCAGGAGGCCCAGGCTAATGAATCTCCACCCTCACCATTTGCTTCCCATCAGCACCACCAGGCTGAGGTCTCTGCCAGCAATGCCAGGCAGCCCTGAAGGTGGAGCTAGCTCTTCATTCTCTCACCCACACCCCCAGGAGGTGGCACTGCTTCTGTCCACCTCTTAGGATACAGGAGCAGATGCAGGAAGTGAAGCCCAGCAGGGCCTGAGTGGCAGGACATGCCCAGAATGCAAAAGTGCTGTTGTCACCTCCATGTCAGCCAGATTCCTTCTCCCATCACTGGCCCCACCAGGCTCAGCTCCCAGGCACTGGGGCCAGGGGTAGCTCTGAGCGGGCAGCTCAAGGTCAACCAGACTTAGTTAATCCCCCTCCCCTGGAAAGGCCATCTGCCCACTGACCAATTTGCCAAACAGCCAATTTACTAACTTAATTGTTCAAGGTCAGTTCACACTCCCTAAACACACTCAAGACGACCTTTAAAGTTTCCAGGAAATCACAGATTTGGTAAACTGGTCACCATGGCAAGCTAGCAGCTTCTGGGGTAGAGGCCAATCCTGTGGCTACCCTACCACCCACACCAGTCCCATCCTGCCTTTGGGGTCACCTGGGGCAGCCAGGCCTCTCTCCTGACTCCAGACCTCTCTGCAAATTCCCACCCAAGATGGCCAGCCAGGGGTCCCCACATACCACACACATGAAACAAGACAATCTTTTAATTGTAAAACTAACTTCAGGGATGGGTGGGGCGGCGCTGACCGTGCAGGAACCTGATTCTTCAGGCAGTGGTTCTGTCTCCGGTGCACTGCGCAGGACAGGGACCATCTGTCCCCAGGTTGGGGTGGGGGTTCGAGTGTTATAAAATGACAATATAAATAGACTTCTAGAAAAGAGGAGGCTGTCCAGGTGCAGTAGTCATTTGCTGCAGAGGCTAGGGGTAGGTGGAAGCCCCGACCCCTGTCTCCCATCCAGAGAGGTGTGCAGGGCTACAGGAAAAGGCCACTCTTCGGACATTCATGATCAACCCCCGCAATGGCTCAGGGGGAGAGAGGGCTGGGTATCAGGCAAGGTGTCAGAAACACACACTTGCAGGCCAGAGGACAGAGTAACCGGACCTTCAGCGTGCACACACACGCACACACACACACACACACACCTCTTTCATAGTGTTGTCTCCACCCTTGGCAACCCCCACTGCAGGTTTCCAGTGATGGAAGGGCCTCCTGTCCTTCCCGGAGATAGAAGAACATAGGGGAGGGCCTGGGATCCTCACTTACTCCCATAAGTCACTGTGATTTTTTAAGTCATAAAATCAAACCAGAGTTCAGTAGTGGGGTCCCTTACACCCACTCCCAGTAAAGAGGGTGGTGCCATACGGAGTGTCTCCTGGGCCTGGAAGAGTGGGGGCTGCCCCCCTACTGGCCTCGGAGGGCTGGGGTAACCCAAGGGGCTCTTTGGTTCAGGGGCAGGCGCTGAGCCTCATCTGGTGCGGTTCTGGCGCATGAGGGGTACGATGCTGGCAGGCGGCCCTGCCTTGGCCAGGAATGGGTGCTTCAGCAGCTCTGCTGCGGTGGCCCTCTGTGTAGGGTCGCGCACCAGCAGGCGGTCCAGGAAGCCCTTCAGGGATGGTGACACCTGTGGGAAGGGTGGGGTAGGGTCATGGGGAGAAATTCCCTGGCACTGGGTCAGATATCAGATCATGGCTCACCTGCTGTGGGGCTGAGATTTTCTTCTCCTCTGAATGGGCTGAGGACACCAACTGCCCAGGGAGGGGGCATAGAGAGCATGGGTGTCTAAAGTTTGACCCCAGGGACAATGACAAACTCAAAAGTCCCCTGGATTTCATTTCTTTCCCATTTTCGTGTTTTGGCAAGGAGTTGGCAGCAGCTGGGCCCTGGGGGAAACAACCCCTTTCCCACCAGGCGTGTTCTCCACCTCTAACTGCCCAGATCTATCTGAGGCAGGGCAGGGCCAGGATTTGGGTACAAGTGTGTGCTCTGCCAGGCCAACCTAAGAACAGGGCACCCAAGGGCATTACTGTTTCTGTCGTTCAGTCCCCACATAAGTCTGTTTGCAGACAAGACCTGGGGTGGGGCAGCCCAGCACACAGTATGCACCATCCCTGGACAACTGAGGTGACAATGTCATCCATACCCCTCACCCTCCCTGGTGCCCGCACCTGCCTGCTAGAGCACTGCCTCCAGACTGGCAGGGGCCTACCTTGTGCAGGTTCTTTAGTCGAGGTGGCAGGTTGTCCCGAATCATCTTCATGGCTTTGAGAGGTGGCTCATTGAAGTAAGGCGGCTCCCCATCCACCATCTCGATCACCATTACTCCCAGTGACCAGATGTCTACCTGGTGTGAGAGGAGGGACAGCAGGACTGAGCAGTGGAAGGACGGCCAGTCCTGGAGGAAACTCAGGGAGAAGTGCCCCCTTGTTCTGCTCTTGACTCTGGTTCCTGGTGTCCCTGGCCCTGGAATACCCTCCAGGACAGCCAGCTAGACCCCACACATTCCTCCTGGGAGCCCTTGAAAACTGTTGTCAACTGCCCACCTCACTCCTGGCAAAGCTGGCTTCCTCTGGTGAGACCCCTGCCCTCCTTGTCAGTCCATGGTGGTGGGTGCCTGACCCAGGTTGCCTCTGCAGCATGGCTGGGACACAATGATCAGCTAAGGAACAGGCACATGACCCAAGGTGAGCTGATCGGAGTCAACTCGGGACTTCAGCCAAAATATCCAGCGAAGTGGTGGAGGTGGGGGAGCTCAGACAGGGAGATGCTTCCCAGAGTGACCAGGGGCTGTCTTTCCCCCCACAAGGGGACAGCCTGCCTGAGTAGAATGCTGAGAAAATTGGGGCTGGGGAGGAAAAGGGACATGGATGACTGTGCCTGAAGCCTGTCCACCCCCAATGTCACTGTTCCATTGGAGTTGTGTCTTTGACCCTCATAGGCAATCCTCACTGAGCTGTCCTCTCAGATTCTTTCTTCTTTTTTTTTTAATTGAATGGTAACTATGTACATTAATGCACTTCTGGGGTAGAGTGTGGGGTCTTCACATCCTCTCAGATTCTTAACATCAGCCTTCCTCCCCAGTGTGACTTCATCTTAGCCTGAGGTCACTCCTGATGTACTCCCCAGAGCACCTTTCTCATGGCCAGGGGTCAAGTCTTATTGACCAACTGGTGGAAGAATCCTTAGGCCCATGGGCCACAGCTCGCAGGTCTCAGAGTAGGAGGCAAGTGAAGCAGGCAACAGGGATGGGTGGGGACTGCCACCAGGGCAAAGGCACCACCTTGTTGCCCCTCAGCACTGCTGACTGCTGCCAAGTAGGAGTTTGGTCTCCATGTGGCCAGATCTTCTGGTTTTCCAAAAGAAGAAATTCTGTGTGTGAGCTCTCATTTTAAAATGTTTACAAGAGCATCTCCAAAGGACAGGTGTAGTGGCTCCTACCTATAATCCTAGTACTCTGGGAGGCCGAGGCAGGAGGATTGCCTGATCTCTACTAAAAATAGAAAAACCAGCCAGGCATTATGGCAGGAGCATATAGTCCCAGCTACTTGGGAGGCTGAGGCAAGAGGATTGCTGTGAGCTGTGATGCTATGGCACTCTAGCTAGCCAGAGTGACAGAGTGAGACTCCGTCCCCCCCAATAAATAAATAAATAAAATAAAAATAGGACCGCACCTGTGGTTCAAAGGATTAGGCCCCATCCCCCGGCCCCATATGCCGGAGATGGCGGGCTCAAACCCAGCCCCAGCCAAAAACTGCAAAAAGAAAAAAAAAAAATTTAAAGCATCTTTAGGCTGTACCAGCCAGAAGTCTGTGGCCTCTGCACCAGGCTGTCGGGCAGGGCCTATGGCTACTTCTGCTCAGTATTTTATCCCTCCTCCCAATCATGTGGCCTGGCCCAGAACTAGTAATCAGTAATGAATTAATAAATGCATGTGTGAAACTGTCCCTGGCAACCCACTCCCCAAACTGAGCCGTGCATCACCCCACCCCAGCTGCTCTGGGGTATAAGTATGAACCTGTGCCGACAGTGGGACAACCAGGCCACCTCTGGGCTCACCTCTGGCCCATACGGAAGCCGGGAGATGAGCTCTGGGGCCATCCAGTAAGGCGTGCCGACCAGTGACTTTCTCCGTGGCACCTCCTTGCTCACCTGGGCACAGAACCCGAAGTCTGACAGCTTTACCTAGGGCAGGATAGAGGTGCCAGGGTCAGAGATGCTGGCATGCAGAAGTGCAAGCAGAGCACCTATTAATTCCTTGGGTTTAGATACGATGTACAACATAGAGGTAAGATCTGGGCTCTGGAGCCAGACCACCGGAGGGCTCTACCACCTTGCAGGGGCCCTCAGGCATGTCATCTCCCCTAAGGTCACATCATCTGCCCTCCTGGCAGACACTAAACAGGTACCCTTCAGTTCTTGGGGGGAGTGGCCTGAGTGCTGTAGAGACCAAAGGATCTGAAAGCCTGTGCCCTGGCTGGACCCTGGTTCCCTGGAGGCTACAGGTCTTCAATTTACAGGTGGAAGAAGATGCTCCCTGCCCCAGGGCATATGAACCAAGCAGGTCCCCAGAACCAAGGATTTTCACCTTTTTGAACTGTAAGTTCTTTTTCAGACTCTTGAGGATGTCTATGGGTTTTCCCCAGAAAAACACCCACATGGTGAGCATACAATTCCAGGTGGCTCACATATGTTGCCCCAAACACATCTGTAGACATCCTTTGATTTTCACGGACACTCAGTGAAACAAAGCTCTCCTAATTTGCCTTGACTGACTTCTGGGGCTTAACTTTCCCTGGAGGAAGGGGCAGAACTCCCATCTTCTTCAAGAATTTCATGAAAAGTCAAGAGCCGTCTCACAAAAAATCAAGTCTCCCTTGGATGATAAATGCAAGCTCTGGGCAATGAAAGGCTCACCCATGGCCCCAGATTCAGAACCTCAGTCCAAAATATGAGCAAAGACCAGTGCCCACAGCCTACCCTGGGTGCTTCGCCGGGAGTTGGCTTTCAGGGGAAGAGGAAGCATGTGGCCAGGGCTGTGGCTGTCTGCCCAAACCTGTCCCCTCTGGCCCAGGGCTGCATTACAGTTCCTAGAATCTTATGCTGATGGCAGAAACTCCCCTACCAGCCTGTCCCATCCCACTGCAGCCTGCTCCCTCCCACTACTGACCCTTGACTATTCTGTGAGGAACAGATAAACTTACTGTTCCTCTAGCCACTGAACTGGGGAGCAGAGCCTGTCCACCCTAACACAGGCATTGCGGCCACCCGCCTCCTCACCCTGCCATCGTGGGTCAGCAGGATGGAGTCACTCTTGATGTCCCGGTGGATGACGCCCTGGGCGTGGAGCACAGACAAGGCCTGCAGCACAGCCAGGCACACGGCAGCAATCTGCTCCTCGTTCATCCTGTGCAGGATGAGGGTAAGCTCTGGGCAGACAGGACCCCCAGGGTCTGAAGACATAACCAACCCCAGGGGATAGAGCTGCTGGCTCTGAGCAGACAAGGCCCACCCTAAGTGGTGGAGAGGAAATTCAGCCCTGCAACAGGAGAGGTCCTGCCTTCCCTTTGTGGAGGAGCCAGCTATCCCGCAGTACCTGGTGTGGGTGACGATGTCAGTAAGGGCACCTCCTTCCAGGAACTCCATCACCACCCAGAGCTCGTCCCCCACCAGGTAGCTGTTATACATCTCCACCACGTTCTCATGCTGGTAGTCCCGCATGATCACCACCTGGACAGGAGGTCAGGTAAGCACCAGCCCCACCTCCACACCGCCATAGATACCCTGCCTCCCTCTGCAGCCTGTCTGGCTCCTCCTCTCACTTCTGTTTCTCTGGGTCACCTGGACTGCCCATTCCACTGCCAAAGCCAAGCAGAGTTGGAAGCCAGCTTGAGGCCTGCTACCACCCTTCTGGGGATATACCCCACCCCATGGACACACCCATCTCTGATCAATCCTAGGCTGGTCTCTGAGTGGCCCTGAGGAGCAGGCTGGTGTTGGCCAAGGGAGGAGGGAGGAGTGTCTGAGCACAGGGTTGAGACAAGGACAAGCAAGTCAAAGTTAGATGAAAAGGTGTGCCTGTGGGGGAGGATGAGGGACTCTGTATTAGGAGTTCATGGTGCTGTTGGAGCACCGTAATTCAGCAGGGGGATAGGTAAGGGTGCGTTTGGTAAAGCGCTGAGAGGAGGGATAGGGAAGCAGTGGCCGGTGCCTAGATAACCCCCAGGCCTGATATCCTCCCGGAGCTCCTGCATCAGTGTGGGAGTGGGCTGCTTAAACACAGATGCCTCTTGGGGAAGGAGCTAGGAGTCTGTCTTTGTAATAAGTTCCCTGGCAAAGAGCTAGGAGTCTGTCTTTGTAATAAGTTCCCTGGCAAAGAGGCCACCTACAGCCAAAGCTGCAAGTTGGATAAAACCAAGTGCCTAGAAGGACACCAGACCAAGAAGCACCTGACATGGTGGTCACGGATGCCAGGAAGGGCCCTTTGGCTGCTGTGTGCAGAGTGCCAAGGGGACACCCAAAAGGGCAGGCTGGGGCAAGAACCCTGAGCAAGAGAGAAGGACTGCAGAGGAGCAGTGGAAAGAGTGCACTGTCTCAGGGCTGACAGGTGGGAGCACAGGAGACAGGGAACCTGAGGAGGAGCAGGCATGGAGACACTCTCCTGGAGGCTAGTTGAGACTTGATGGGTGGGAAGGGCCTGAAGGGTGCTGGGAGTGAGGATCAGTAGGCCAAGGGACCCTGTGTTTGGGGCTCAGGGGAAGGGGCACGGGTGGAGGTACTGTTAGGACAGAGGCAGGAACCTTCAGCTCAGGACAGAGGAGACGGCCTAGGCAGAGTGTAAGGAGGAAGGAAAGGAGAAGGACCAAACCCCACCTTAGGTTCTCCCCTTTTTGTTCCCCCTCACCCCTTCCAGACCTGGCCCAGAATTAAAGAGCACAGCCGGAAAGGTGGAGGCAAGGCTGAGGGGCCATGCCCAACCACTACCCACCCACCTCGTTGAAGAGCAGCTCTCGTCTCTGCTGCTTGCGCAGGTCCATCTTCTTGACGGCCACCAGCTTGCCTGAGCTTCGCACAGTGGCAATGCAGACGATGCCCGTAGAGCCCTCGCCAATCTTGATGAAGTTGTCCAGGTAGGAGCGAGGGTCACCTGGGTCCACTACCAGCTGCAGGGCAGCCCGGAACTGCTCATGGGACACTCGCTGTGGTTCTCGCTGTGGTGAGCGGGGACCGGGAGGCCCAGGGGCAGCAGGGGTGGTGGGGGTATGGGCTGGAGGGGCCAGCTGAGGTTCAGAGGCATGGGGACCCAGCACCCCAGAGCCAGGGGGGCCACGAATGCGGGTGGGAGGCCGGGAGGACTGGGGGACAGCCAGGCCCCCTGCTGATGGCCCATTAGGGGCCATGTCTCGAGGCTCTCCCTGAAAGAGAAAAGAGACAACTGTCGGTGGTAGGGCCCCAGGGGCCAGCTCTGCTCACTGAGCAAGAGAGGCCCAGCTATGGGACAGACACATGGGTGGTCAGGATGAGAAACACAGGGGGCAGGGGCTGGGAGGTGGGAACAAGGGAAGTGACTGGGAGGGGACAGTGGGAGGTCCTGGGGGGGGTGGGTTACCTGGGCACCCCGGGATGGGTGGTCCGTATCGGCCCGAGGGTACGTGTTAAAGGGCCGGCCAGCTGCCAGTTTTGCCCCACTGGCCAGACCAGCAGGCTGGGGGGTGCCAACATCAGGCCCAGAGAGGGGGCGTTTGTCCCGGGAGGGCTCTTGGGGCCCCCCTGAGCCCTCCCTGGAAGACTTGGGCCTCTTCTCTGGCCCCACCCGCCGCCTGTCACCACTGCTGCCACCAGCCTCATTGCGACCAGTGATCTGGCCTCGGCTGCCCGCCTTTCCTGGGCCCCCTCGGGCCATGGTGGCCTGCTCCTCTGGCATCCCATTTTCCTGGCAGGCACGGGTGGGTGGTGGTGGGCTGTCTCTCCTCAAAGAGTTGGAGCGTGTCACCGACATGTTCTCAAACTCGTCCAGCAGCAGCGTGAGGGCCCCATCCTTGGCACCTTTGCTGCCCCGCACGATGGTCTGGGGTCCAGGGCAATGGCAGGGTGGGGGCCAGGCAAGGAGCAGGGGGACACAGGACGTGCATCCAACACACAAGGACAGGACAGGACAACACACACAGAAGACAAGACAGAGACGGAATGAAGAGATGCCATGGGTGATGAGGGGATAGGCAGCAGGGGCGGAGCTCTACCCATGGAGGACTTAGCCGCAAGAGGGGACATGAAGGAATAATCTCCATGGTCCCCCCCAGTCTGGTGGCACCTCTGGACAGTGTCCCCCTTGTTTTCCTCCTGCTTCCCAGACTGAGGGGAGAGTCCCGCCCTGTGGGGTGGGCAGGAGGGAGGGCAGAAGCCAACTCGCCCATAATCAGCTCTGGAGAGCTGTAGATGACAGGATGCTAGTCCAGGGCAACGCCTGGCACTTCCTCCTCTGCAGGCTGCCAGGGTCATTAACCCTCAAACCACACTCTCTCCTTCCCTGAAGGCCAAGGGTGGGATACACGTAGAGTCAGAAAGGTCTGGGCTTAAAGTAGAGGGCATGAGGGTCCTGGGAACCAAGGGGCAAATGCATTGGAGACTGGGCTGAGTGCCAAATGCATCCTGAATCCACCTCGTCCTCACCCTCCACAACTGCCGCCCTATCTCCCTCAACCCTCAAGTACCTACTCCACCCCCCAACTCAGCTCCATGCACACAGGTCTCCTTGCTGCTCCTCTGACACACCAGGCATGCTGCCACCTTGGGGCCTTCACACTGGCAGTTCCCTTTGCTAGGAACACCTTCCTCCAGGTTCCCATGGCCTCCTCCCTCCCCTCTTTCAGATCTTTGCTCAAAATTCAGCTTCACAGTGAGGCTTCTGGTGGTCAGTCTAAAATGCCAACCCTACCCTTCCCAGGCCCCATCCCAGCTCTCTCTTCTCTCTAAAGCACTTGTCACCAGCTGACATAAAGCACATGTGTATCTGTCCATTGCTGGGTCTACCCAGTGGAATGTTCCTGAGGTTGGCAACTGGTTTTCCTGTTTCTGATTCTGCTACATCTCAACACTCAGACCACCATGTGGCACATAGGAGGTGCTCAATGACATTTGCTGAACCAGGGAGGGAGGTGGAGCATTCCACACTGGGCAGAGGCCACAGCAATAGGAGCCCTGCTCCATGGTTATCACTGCTGGCAGGAAGGGACATGAGCCTAGGACTACTACATGTCCAGAAGCCAGAGGACTTCCTCTAATGTATAGAAAACTGATCCCATAAAATTCATCCACAGGCCATAGGCCTCTCCTGTGGGCAGCCCCAGGAAGGCAAGGCAGACACATGGCCAGACTTTGGCATCAGAACAAGTGGTCAAGAAGACTCTGGGAGGACTGGGGAGATTCCCAGCCAAGAGCTGCAAATACAAGTACCCCCAAGGCCCCAGGACAGGGGCTCTTTGTTTGAATTAAGCCAACATGCCTCTTCTTCCTGGTGGACACAGACACAGGCAGGCCCAGCATCCTGAGCCAGGCAGGGGCTATGGCCCAGTGTGGACATAAACTTCACACAAGTGGCCATGGAGCCAGGTGAGGCATGGAACTAGGGTGGGTTGGGCAGGGCCTGTGGGCCAAGAAGAGCCAGTGCCCCACCTAGATAGCAGCTTCCAACAGCTCTGGCTAGTTTATCACAAGAAGCCAAAAAAGAGAGATTCAGATGTGAAGCCTCTTGCTTTTTAAAGTAGTGGCAAAGAAAAAGAATTTCAAAGCACCCTGTGTGGGCCACACAAACACCTCAGTGGACTGCCAGATGGAGGCTCTGCACTTGCGCCTATGGCCTACTTGCTGACCTCAGTCCTCCTCACCAGGCAGGAGAGGAGAGGAGGTGAGTCAGTGGTAGGTTTGCCCCCAGGCACTGTGCCCACCAGGCACACCCATCTCCACTCCTTTGGAACAAGCCTGGCAGCGTTCTCCCTGGCCTGCAGCCCTTCCTGGTCCCCACTGCCCTTGGGGCAAAGTCCGCACTCCAAAGCTGGCTTCCCAAGGCCCAGCCTGGGCTCTGCTACCAGGCCAGCCTCACTGCAGGCCATGTCTAGACACCAGAACCACAACTCATAATTTCATATGGAGACAGAATGGGGAGTTAAAAGCATGAGCCTTGGAAATAGATCTCTGTTCATATCTCTACCCTGCCGTTTTGCTCACAATGGCAGAAAACCCAAACGAAAACTCTCAGTGTTTCCCAGGAACATTTCTCCACTAACGGCGGTGTCCCATTCACCTCAATTCTTATTCCTCATTGGCCCTCAGGGCTTGTGGTACAGGTGCCCCAAACTCTGAGAAGCTTGTCTGGACCCCTGGTCTGGGTCAGTCGCCCCATCCACGCCCTGATCACCTGGTGCTGTCACTGTCTAGGAATGGTCTGTGCTGCTCACTGCCACAGGTGTTCTGGAAGGACTCAAAGACAGGTGTGGGGACAGGAGCATGGAGCTCCAGGAGAAAGCAGGACTGGAGGCCGGTGTAGGGAGAATCAGAGGGGCCTGTGGGGGGAAGGGTGGGTCAAAGGCCACCACCAGGCCCAGGATTAGGGTGTCTCTGTTAAGATCAGTGAGGAGGAGGAGGAGGTGTGGAGGTGTAGGCTGCAGAGTCAAGTGTGGGGTTAAGGGCTGGGGCCCCCTGGGGTGTCAGCATGGCAGGTGTCGGTATACCTTAGGGGCCCCAGGCTGGATGGAGGTGATGCAGGCAGGGTCAATTAGGGGCTTGGGCCGGCGAGCTGACTCCTCGATCAGGCTCTGCCACTGGCGGGGCAGCCCTGTGAACTTCTGCTCATTCTGGTCAAAGCCCGTGTGCACACGGTGCTCAAAGTTGGATGGTGCTGAGATCTCCACCCGCTTCTTCTTCTTCCCAAACATGGTGCTGGGATCTCAGCACCACGCAGGCTCAGACTTGGGCTCCTACCAGGCCTGTGGGAGAGAGGCACCAACAGGGTTAAGTGTCAGGTGATTTGAACCTGCCCATTTCTCTCCCTCTTCTGCCCATGCCCTGGGCCCATCCCTCCCTGTATCCCACCTAGAATGGGAGACGACAGCCTCCTCCAGGGTCTCTGTCTTAGCACCCCCGATGTGTGCCTTACATGTAGCCAGAGGGGGCCTGTGGACATCCACATGAGGTCACATCTCTCCTCTGCTCAGAACATTTCTCTGCCTGAATGCTCTTCCCTGGGGTCAACATGTGGCTCCCTCTCACCCCCACTTCCTCTCTCAGAGACCTCAGCAAATCCTTTTCTGACCACCCTGAGGAAATGGCTCCAGGCCCCACTACCCTCTACACGTCACCTTTCCAGCACAAGGAAGCTGTGAAAATTCTGCCGTTCATTCTGTGTTTGCTGGTTCTGTGTCCACACCCACTACTAGAATGTCAGCACCACAGGCCAGGTCTCATCTGCCCAGTCCCTCTGTGTCTCACCTCACATCTGGCCTGTGTCCTCAGTGAATGGTACCCAGTGGCTTGGCCACAAGCACCCCAGCTAACCCAGGCCTGAGTCTGGGCTTAGAACACCATGCACTTCGGTTACTAACTCAGCAGATGGTGTCTGAGACTTGCCATAGCAGGACACCCAAACACCCTCACTATGACACTCCTTTATCATTAGGATGGGGCACTTAGAACAGAATAAATGCTGAAGGGGCAACATGCTGATAGTGGTGTCCCACAGGGAGCCCAGAGATGTGATGTGAAGGCCAGAGAGCAATCTCTCTGCCCGGTACTACCTGTGACTTTGAGCAAGTGACTCAACCTCTCTGTGCCATGGATCAACCTCTACAGGGCTGCTATGACGAAAAGTAAGTAAATACCAGCCACATGTGGCCCCTAGGTTCACAGAGACCTGATTAGATGCTGGTGGGGCTAGAACTGCCCTCAGGCAGGTGACGTCTTCTCTCAGGTCTCCAGGTTACTCATCTGTAAACGGGAGAAGACATCTATTCACTTATTCATTCATTCAGTCAATCATAATTCACCCAACAGTGAATTCACCACAGTCTCTTCTGTGCCCAGCAATGTGGGGACAGCAGTGACCAAGATAGCCTCTGACCTCGTGGAGTGCTCATGTGGGTCAAACAGACCTGCCCACATGGTGAGAACCTAGAGTGGTTGGGGCTGGAGAGTGCCAGACCCCACTGGAGGGAATGAGGAGAAAGGTGCTAGGGGGATTTCTATCTGTTCCCAGCTGGCTCCCCAGCCCAGTAGGTCTTGTGGACCTAGGGAGAGAAAAGATGTTCCCAGTGTGCCTGGGACCATGTGGTCACTCCAGCACCTGCTTCTCAGGCTCCCTTCCTCTGGGAGCAGCTCAGGAAGATGAGGCTACCACCCTGGTGGAGGTAGAACTATGAATGTGGAGCTTTCCAGGGGAACCGGTTTGGCAGTAGGAGACCAGTGGGAGGTGGGTGGGGACCCAACAGCCAACCCGTCCCAACCAGTCCCAACAGGCCAGCAGGTGGTCAGAGCCAGGGCTCCCCCAGCGGACCCCAGGTTCCCCACTTGCTCTGGGGCCTGCCTGAGTCCCTGGGTGAGAGATGGGATAGCCCAGGTCAGGAAAGAGCCCGCTTTGCCTCTGCCGCAACCACTCCTCAACCCAGGTGCTGAAACCAAACACTAACCACCCCCTCCCTTCTAGCCTCTCCGCCCTGACCTACTCCCTGTTCCCCGTCTCCCCAGGTTCTTTGTAAATTCCAGCTCCTGGAATGGCAGTCCCCCACCTCCCTACTCTCCCCTACTCTGTTACTCCAGATCTGTGCCCTATGTCCCATGGCCTCACTGTCTTCCCAGATGTCCCCCCATTTGGCCTGACACCCAGACCCCCTTCTCTCTTTGAACTCTTTGCCCAGCCCATCCAGCTCCCTCTTCCCACCACCTGGGGGCGCTAGGCAGCTCCCGAGCCCTTAGCAGGAACAGAATCAGCCATGTGACCCCTCACTAACCCAAGAGAGGGAAGAACAGATTCTGCTCAGGATCAAGATGGGTGAGGACAGCAGGAGGCAGCCTGGACAATGGGGTAGTTAACTAGCTAGCAGAGGGAGCTGTCCTGTGGCATCTGTCCTCCATAGTTCAGAGCCCCCACTGATAAGCACCCTCAAAACACCTCTCACCCTGCAGCCCTGTGTGACCCTGCAGGGGACCGGATATTTGCCTAGGGCCACCCCTTCCCTCTGGGCACAGCATGGAGGGCAGGACAAACAGAGGAACTGGGCATGTTTATAATGACCAGGCAGGAGCCCCACCCTGGCTCTAGCAGGCAACTCTAAACCCTGTGGCTCCCCCACAAGGCCCTCCTGCCCAACCATAAGCTCTGGGTTCATGGAGGCCAGAGCCAGGGCGAGGCCTGGCAGGGAAGGAGAGGAGCTGCCACACAAAGAATGAGGGTCCCAGACCAGTTCAGAGCCTAGGAGGCAGACACTCCAGGCCTCAAAACCCCAGCACAGCTACTATACACTGCACAACCTCACTTCCTATATCTGTCACGTGGGAGCAATCCAACCCAGGCCAGGGACCTCAATACACGCCCTGGGCAAGCCACTCTGCTGCTGTATGCCTCAGTTTCCTCCTGGAGTTTTTAAAAGGAGTCAGAAGACAAGGCACTGAGGGCCTCAGTCAGCACACGGCTCCCTACTACCTGCCTGTCCCCCACGAAGAGTCTCTGCTGTACTAGAATGTCTCTGCTCCAATCTTGTCACCCTCTATGTCCCTTTCTCTGCTTTATCTTTGCTCATTGCACTTACCACATCCACAGTGATGTCTCTGCTTCTCCCCCTAGAATGCCAGCTCTCTAAGGACAGAGACTATCATCGTCCTGTTCCCTGCCACACCCCAGAGCCTGTGTGCCAACTCAGAGCAGGGACCTGATGAACATTTGGTGAACAAACTAATTCATCTGGACCCGCTATAGTACACCACTGCTCAGAACCTCAGACAAGGCCCTGGCAGCATGTGGTAAACATTTTTGGAGAAATATCTGGAACCCAGAGGCAGAGGGTGAGCCAGTAACATGAAAGAGCTGGATGGAGAAGGATTAAGTGTAGCCCCCCACTACTACCTGGGGTGTAGACACCTGTGTCCAATGTTTTATCCTAAAAATTCAGGTACAATTTACATCCTACTCTAAGATGTTTATTTCAATTTTAACAAGCTGTGAATTCTTTAATATGTGGGACAGGAAGTATCCAACCTAGCCTATTAAAAGCTTCAAAAATTTTCCAGTCACCCCTGTAACCCTCTTGTTCTACCCTCTGACCCTTTATGAAAAGAAGATGGTACCACCACCCCCAGCCCAGGTAATCACCCCAGGTGCAAGAGACCCCCTGTGTGACAAAGCTGGCTGGGTTGTGTGTGCTCATAGATGCATGTAAAAATCCTTACCTCCTATCCCCTACCCTACCTGGCTCAGAATAAAGCTGCCACCCCTGGTATGGAGGGAGCTGACCCAGCTGGAACCCAGGGGTCCAGGGAAGAACAGAGGATATGGCCAGAGTCACAGCCATCCTCTTTCATGTTCAACAAAATGAAGCCCTAATCAGGAAGGGGAGGGAGCAGAAGTGCTCATGGTCCCAGCCTGTACTCAAGGCCTCCACCACTGGTGCCCACTCACTCCTCTGCTAGTCTTTACCTACAACCGGTATGAAGGCCCCTCTGTGCCTCAGTTTACCCTCACTTTCTGGGTTTGCGGTCTGATGATGGAAGGGAGTATGGCTTACTGTACGGGGACCACAGCAGGTTCCTCACCACCCCCTACGTACCCTGCCTCCATGCCCTTGCTTACCCTACTATCCTGCATGGCTCCTACTCTCTCCTATCCCACTCTGAGCTTGGTTCCTCTGGGGAATCCTCAGGCTCTGGGGCTGACACATCCCTCAGCCCCCTCCTGAGAAAACACCAATCTATCACAAATGATCCCATCATACCCGCCATGTACCCCTCCACTCATCAGTATCTACCGAGAGCCTCCAGCCGTGGAAAAAACAGCCAGAAACAGCGCTCGCTGCCTGGTAGAAGGAGAGAAGGAGACTATCAATACAGGAGATCCAATAGCGCAGATGATAAATGCTGTGAGGAGAAGAAAGCTGGGACAAGGAGGGTGCTGAGCGCAAGGGGAGCTGGAGTTTCCAATAAAGCAGTCAGGCTGCACTTGCTGAGACATGGACATTTGAGCAGGGAGGGATCTGAAGATGGAGGGGAGAAGGAGCTTCATGGGTAACTAGAACACCTAGGGCAAATTGACATGTTTGGTCAAGGAGCAGTGGAGGCTGAGGGCTACAGCAGGCAGTGAGGGGTCTCATGGAGATGGGAGGTGACAAGGCAGAGTGTGTGGGGCCTGGTGGCCACAGTGAGGGCTTGCTCCTTCTCCAAGTGAGATGGGGCCACAGTAGGGTTCTGAGCAGAGGGGGGGATGTCACCTGACCAGATGTTCACAGGCCCCTTCTGGCTGGGAGCAGTCCATGGGGGCAGGACATTAGGAAGGAGGAAGCTGTGACAGTCTGTGGGAAACAAGTGGACAGGACCATGTGGGGGCTGCACAGAGGGCTGCAGAGGGGGCTGCTCTGGGCAGATACTTGGCATGCTATAAAGGTCGTAGGGGGCAGGACCTGCTGAGGACTGAAGCATGCTCTATCCTGGCACACCCTGGCGCCCACTCCCTTCCCTCCAGACCCCTCACCATCACTAGAGTTATTTCTGTCTATTTCTGTCTTCACTGCTAAGTAAGTGGCTTGTGCAGGTAGGGACCAGGCTCTGGTGGCTGTGGCTGTATCCCCATGCCTACAGTAGAGTGTGGCCACATAGGGAGCCCCATTTGTGCCTGCTGACTAGCCCAGGCCTGTGCCAGGCACACAGAACAGGCCACACACAGTCCCCAGAATAGTTCTGAGTGGTTGAAGAGTCCCTTCCTGTTTCCCAAACCAGGAAAATGAGGCTCAGAGAGGGCAAGTCCCTGCCCAGGGCCACCCAGCACCAGGTCATAAAAGTATCCACCTTGTCCTACAGAGAAGGCCTGTTCACACCATGCAGACTCCTGCTTCTTCCCGCCAGGCTGAAGAGAAGAGAGAAGGACTCAGAGGATATGAACAGGGTGGAGACTACTCCACTGACAATGACCAGAGACACCAGAAAAGCTGCCCTGGTTAGGAGGCAATTTGAAGAAATGCTAAACAAGTGAATTCACAAAATACTCCAAGTGCTCCTTGGCTCACAAACCTCAAATGCTGTGATTTAACAAGGCTCTCTCTGCTTGGCTGGGCGCTGCCAACCATGCAAGCTTTCCCTGTTATAGCCCGGACACAGCAAAGCTTGCTATAGCCTCAAGGCCTTTGCACCTACTATTCCCTTTGCCTAGCGTGGTTCACTCTTCCTTGATATTCAGGTCTTAGTGCACATAAAACCTGCCTGGAGAGGGTGTCCCTAACCCCACTAACAATTTGCACTCTGCATTATATGTCCCTGCAGTGTCTATTACCACCTGGCATCATATCCCCCACCCTGGCCACCCACCCTTCAGTAGACATTCAGTTCCCCAAGAGCAGGGATCTCTGTCTGTCTTGCTCTTGCTGGATTTCTGACATCAAGCACAGTGCCTGGGACACAGTGGGTACTTAGTAATATTTGTAGAACAAATGAGTGATGCTACTGCCAAAGTGATGAGTCTGGACCCTGAAGAGGTACAGGGAAGGGGGCTGAGGGCACAGTCCAACCAGAGTCCCCAAGGACTCTCTCGTACACCACGTGAAAGTCTGACCTTGATGCCTGAGAAGGAACTGTCTTCAGCAACTAAATTTGGCTGTTTAGCAAATAACCTGCTGTGTCCCAAACACCTCAAAGGCACCCCACCGTGAGCTATGCCCAGGCCCTCCCCACTGCAAGGAGGCCCATCCCAGCCATGGCTTAGGCTGGGAAGGTAAGGAAGTGGCAGCAAA